CCCCCCCCCCCCCCCGGGTCCAAGCTAACTAATTATAGATGTATGTAATTGGCCAGTGGTTATGACTGGGGTCTGTCACTATCCATTTAATGTTAATTAAACAGTTTTGTACCACTTACTCAAATGTTACCATTTACTGATATAATATTTACCAGCTATTATTAGATCAAAGTCAGACCATTCATTTCATTCATTTAATTAATATTTGATTACTGACAAGAAAATAGTAATAAAATACTTACCAAATATTGCTGTTTACTTGCTATTCCCTTGCTCACCTTTTACCGAGAATTCCAAATCCTTACTTGTCTTGTGAAATCTTATGCTTTAATCTATATTTTAGATTTCAGAAGTCTAAGATTCTGATGGCGTTGAAAGCATTAGAGATAGATATCAACATGATTCTGTCACTTTATGGGTAGGTCTTGATTACTGTTAATGTCTGCCAAACCTAGTGTGTGTACACATCGAAACGTGGTGCTGATAAATAACTACCTTTGATAACGAATCAATTGAGCTAAAGGTCCCTTGTTGGAATTAGGGCTTTGCTTGATGGCCAAAATTCTTGGTATCTTGAAATCAAAAGCATGGTGCATGGGAAAAATAGCAATTTGAAAATCCTCTTGAGTATGACATTGGTAATTCTGCCAAAGGAAAGTCCGATTTCATTACTCATCTCATAAACACAAAATATCAAGATTGACAATAAGCCTGAAGCATGATGACGTTTTACCCCCGACTCTATACCATGATAGTTTTTAGTTTTTAAAATTCTTTCATATTAAAATTTTTGATTCCTTAGAGAATACAGGAACAATAGTCATAATTAAAGAACAAAAGCAGTGTGAAAAGGATTATGGTCTAGAGACGGGGGTAAAACATCATCTCACTTCAGGCTTATTGTACATACATGTAATTAATATTTACATAATCGTTTACATGCTTCTATTAATTTTATTCTTCAAGGTCAAATGAAAACTCCACAGATACCATATTAAAATGTCCCGTTGGTTTTGGAACACCAAGACAGGGAGGTATGTGTAATGCTCTTCCTTTACATTGTTATGAAACTGTTGCTGATAATTAATTTTGTCCTTGTTGTTAGTGGTCATGATTCCCAGTGACCCTGAAATGGCAGATAAACCAGAGTAAAATTTTCAAGCTCTTGGAAGTGACAGGCAATTTTTTTGTTTTTGGTCAGAGAAATTATGAAAATATTTTAAGAGTCAAAAAAAAAAGGGGGGGGGGGGTGGGGGTTTGAGACAGGAAAATTATGCCAACAAAATTTTCCTGTGGAATTTGTCAAGAGGGGACTTGTAATATTACAATGTATGCTGTACCATACATACCTTTTGGTGGCTTTGGGTGCCTACTGTACCTGTAAAGATTTGGGGAGTATGTAATTAAGTGTCATTACTTGTGACTTAATGTTTTTAATATTTTTTGTTCTGGTTAGGTCGGCTCATGCGGCTCACCTACTTTGCCACACCCTATGAGTTGCTTGATGTGAAGAATCCTGGTGAAAACTTGAAGTTCACTAAGGATAGTAAGTTTACCAATTATTAAAGATCTCTAACTTAATACTGTAGAGTGCAAACAATTAATCCGTGAAACACTAAATCCTAAATAGTACAAAATAGTGCTAATTAAACAATAGAAAACAATGGAATTTGCATGAAATTGTGCTATTTAGTATTACTAAAATTTCACGGATTTACTGTGCTCACTCTATTGAAAAAAGATTTAATAAAATTTAATGGGCTTGAAATATACAAGTGCTGCAATTTAAGAGAGGACTTTCCACACTGACTTCAAAGATGCCATTCAAAATTCTACAATATGTTTGAATTTGCAATCACCATCATTGAAAAAAAATGTTCCAATGTCAGGATAGTTTGGAAAATTATAGCAATTAACAATGAATAACCTCAAGATCATTTTTAAAAATTTTTTCATTAATATTTAATTAAATGGCCTTTATTGGCGCAGCTGTCAAAAATGATATATTACATTGTCGCAAAGCAGGCTTACTAGTATTTTATTATTATTCTAATTATTTTTTCGTAAGATCTGTTTGGATTATTGAGAAATGGAGTCACGACCTGATTAGCTTTCTTGTCTTTCTCCTTCTCCTGGTTCTTATATATACTTCTTTCTCTTTCATTGTTGCTGTTATTGTAATTGTGCAGAACGAATCTCTTAATCTTGCAGACCATCCACCTTTAGATCTTGGTTGCTGGGTCAGTCTGTCAGTAGAACAATCACAGATGTGCCACCTTCCTACCAAACCTCTGATTGAAGAGCCCATGATGGAATGCATGATAGATGACATGTAAGACTACATGTACTGCTATAACTAGAGTAGTTTTGTATGACTGTGAAAAGCTCACAGCATGAACATGAATAGCCATGGCCCCAGAAAGGGATTACGCCAGACCAATCACATTGCTCAAAAATTTACTCTCAATCCAATCTAATACCTGGAACACTATAGAACATGGTCGCGCCAAGGTTCTAGAAAGCTTCATGGTTATAGCATGGCATGCTTACCGCACTGCGCTTTTCATAGTCATGCAAAAACTGGTCTAAATATGGCAGTACTTAATAGTTAAGTAGGGAAGGCATACCATTCTTACAGTAGAGTCCTGATCAAGTGTCTATGACTGGATGCTGTTGATGATGATTAACCTTAGTTGATAAATATTGGTCTATGTATCATTATAGGTGATTGCACAAAGCTCAGCTGCTAGAATGACCTTCTCTGAAAGTTCATTTCGGTGGCTAGAATATCACAAGCAGTTATTCATCTGCATTCATGAAGTGATTAATGAGCTTTATCTGAAAGGCATAAGACCTACAGTCCTCAATTCATTGAGTTGCAAATTATAATATGTATAAGGTATAGTCCATTAGATCTCTCTTCAGAAAAGAAATATCAACCAAAAAAAATTGTATGCAGAGGTTGTTACAAAAAAATAATAATATTGTGCAACATTAATTCCTGCGTCCCCCTCAATTATTTAATATTTTATCCCTAATATTCATGTATACGTTGTGTCCACAGAGTCAAATATCAACCTCTTGATGATAACAACAGTGATGAGCTTCCTGCATCATTTGTTCTTCGACTCAATAAACCCATGGTCATGTCGGTCCAATGTGCACAGAAAATATGCTCTGTTATACATCAAGGAGGTATTACATTAGGAAGATATCTACAGTATGATGTATCAAGTTTCTTATTTTTATATACAGCTGTACACCTATTTCAAATGGCGTTGTTGACCCAAAATCTGAAATGGGAGATCTGAGACTAGATTTAAGGATTTTTGCACATGCTTTCATGTCTTCTGGCTGAAATAAGAAAAATCACATTTCTAACTCAAAGGTCTTATGATGCATCATATTCCAACCTAAAAGGAAACTACGTTGTCCTGCTGTGAATATATTATAACAATGTGCAGCATTCTACTCAGTCTTAGATTTCAGATCTCTGACCAGGGCCGTAACTAGGGGGGAGCACAGGGTGCACGTGGACCCCCCCCCCCATAAAAGCTTAAGGACCGCTCACATCCATCTCCTTTTTTGTTTTTTTGTTTTTGCTTTCTTTTGGTTACCTTTTTTTATTATTATTTTTGGTTCTGCTTTCTTAAAAAAAATGAACAATGGTCCGATTTTATTCGATGTGCACCCTCCCTGTAAAAGTTCTGGTTACGGCCCTGCTGACTGACAACGCTTCTTGAAATACTGTAAGTGCATACATGTAATTGTTGTTGATGTTGTTATTGTTGCCATTGAGACTATTATTTTGTGAGAGACCTCACAGTGTCATACTCGAAATATGCCTTCACCAATACATTTAAAGTAATTATATTTCTTCTTATTCCAGGGAATTTTGTCCATTCATCCAAAATATCAGTTGAAAAACTGCTTATTAGAGAAGTAAGTGCATGGAAAGGAAGCACAGTTTTTTTTATTGCTTTTTATCCTTTTCAGTTGGTGAGAAGAGAATCATGTTCAAGGGTGGTGTACTCGCGCACCTTTCACCTCTTGGGTCTCAAATTTGATTCCTGGACTCGCCATCATACGGGAGCAGATATTTTTGAAGTCTTTCTTTTCATTGCAACGTTTTTTACCCAACCAAGCTCTCCTCCAGAGCCCTCGGCCAACCCTAACACGCTAAATTCAAATTCCATCTGTGAGCTAGCCGAAGCCTGACTTTGATCAGCCCAGAGGTTGTTTCAGGGTTCGATAAAAGAATTGAACATTTGAAGGTGTTAAGAGATTTTTTTATCTTTTTATTTTCTCATTAGTGGTGGAAATCTCAAGGCATTACATCTGAAGAACAACCAGTAACGTATTATGCAGTAAGTACACTCGTATGCTAGTTTGCTGCTCATTAGAGATTCGCAAAAGATAATTGAAAAGCATGGGTTATGGGCTATTGATGCTATACAATCAATACTTTATTTGTTACGTTTAACCTGCTTTAACAACTAAAGTTGATTGAATAGCAGTGAGAGAGTTATGTGACAGCTTTGCAGGTTTTCTCTAGTTTCTCTGGTTTTCCCTTTCCACAAAAATCAACTTCTAAATTCTAACTCGATCATGGAATGAGGGCCACAGGTTTGTTAGCCACTGGCTGTTAAGAGTTACCCTCTTAAAAACAAAGGCTATTATTTTTTAAACGACTATCAAAATATGTGGCCCTCTTTCCATGATTGCATTCCTTATTCCAAATCTGGATTTAAAAGTTCATTTTTGTGGAAAACCAAAATTAAATCAAATCAAATTAAATGAAAATAATATAACATATTATTAAAATAATGCAGTATGATCTTTCTAAACAGTGTTTTTTACTCTTGCTGTACATCATAATAGGATCTACCTGGCCACTACCATGTGTACTACAATACAGAATCTGATTTCACTGACGAGTTCGTTGGAGATAATGCAGGAGTGTTGGTATATAGAGTACCATTCACTCATCCCAGTCACGTACCAGACATTATTAAGGTATAATATAAGGTCAACATTTGTGTATCCGTTTCATTTGTTATTTTTGTGGAAAAAATTAAAATGTTCCGCGAGAAATGTGATATTGTACCATATTAGGGTCATGAAACAAAGGCCCTTTGTGACTTAATGGTCATTGTGGATTTGGCGGGAACTTTCTCGTTAAGTTTTGCGCTATCGCCCTCGAAATATGAAACTCCGCAGCACATCAGAATGCAGCTGAATTTGGAGGACATAACAATAGGTTTTCAATGCTCAGTAGATTGAAATTCTTTTGTTTCGTTCTCTAATTTGAGTTACTTTGACGTCACATACAACGGGTCTATAATAATGTATATGATTGTGTATGTCTTATGGTATCCATAGTTTTGGTGTTGGCGAACAGTGCTAGGGCGGCTGTAGCCTAGTGACTTACTGAAGAACAATTCTTTTATCATATCAGCAACTAAGACGGCAGGCCTCTTATAACAGTTTGCTTACTAGTGCTTTAAGAACAGACAAGACGCCACCCAAAGGTATAGTATAATACACAGAATTATGCTACAATATCAATGTGAATTTAAAGGGATCCTGCAAAGCTAAGTAAAGTACAATGTAGAACCTTAAAATAAGACAAAGAACAAAAAAAAAAAAAAGCATTCGAATTTTGTTTATTTTATTTTTTATTTTATTTCATTTTATTTTATTATTTATATTTTTTTTACCTCAGAAACAAACGCTAGGCTGATCAAAAAATGGGCACGGCTAACTCACAGATATCGAACCCTGAAACAACCTATTGGCTGATCAAAGTCAGGGAAACAGCTAACTTACCGTACAGATCAAATGGGTATTTAGCGTTAGTTGCGAAAGGAGGACCCTTGATTCCCCCCAGGCTAGCCACTTGATGCATTTTTGACTTTTCATGGATGCAATCCAGAATTTCCTTGCCCGTTTTTTGTCCTTGCTCTGGAAGTATAATGGTTTTTTTAATTATAGCGAAAGATCAAACAGAGTACACTTTTGAGCTCAGCACACCAGCTCCTTTTACCGTCACCATCACCTTTGAACATCCTTGCACTGCTGGAATGGCCTCAAGTAAGTAAAGTTTCTATGTTTTCATCAGTCATTACCATCACTGCCACCACCATCAACAAATGTAGACTGTCAGAGACACAGATCAGATCGAAGGACTACTTCGTTGATACGGCGGCCATCTTGGATAGCAAGACATTATGGGGCGTCGAGGGGGCAAATAAAGCTTTCAGTTGTTACAGTAATGACGTCGATTAATATTAACAGCTCACCTCAAGATGAATACAAAAAAAAAAAGATTAACTGAGATCATCTTTACCCATGAAAGAAAGACATACACACGAAACTATATATTTTCCGTCACCCCCTGGCAAGATGGCCGCCGTATCGTCGAATTAGTCCATCGTAGTGAATATGGCACAGAAAATGAGGTTGGATGGAAGACGGGGACGGGAATTGGAGCCTGATCGTTGTATGAGACATAAAACGCTCATTGCGGATAAAAAGGAGTTGTAGGCCGATTGAGATGCCTATTTTTAGCCCCTGTAACTGCGTTCTAAGATTAACTATTTGGTGTCTTCTTTGATAAGTCCATATATATGTGTGGTATGGTCATCATGAAGATGTTTTAACTCTATTTTCCCCTCCAATAGTTGACTTTGAAGTAGGAGAAGACAGTAACGTCCAGGCCTCATTACACACTGTGCCAGGCCAACCAGTATTCGGCACCAATGAATACCTCACTAAAGTCATACAAAGGTACAGTGCATTACCTTCATCAATAGAATCCGGCATCTTTACCATGAATCGTGTAACAAGTCATGATCCATTTAGTTAGTACATTATAGAACCATGATATTACATTTCGAAACATAAGTTCTCAGAAGAGTTCTGAAGCCCTAAAACTCTTTTCGCCGAATTTTTTTTTTTTTTTGAAATTAGAGACATGTTTCGAAAGGGCTATCTTTTGTTGTGGTCGTTTGTATAATGAAATGATTTTCCATTTTGAAACATAAGTTCTCAGAAGAGCTCTGAAGCCCTAAAACTCTTTTTCGTGAATTTTCGCCGTATTTTTGTTTTAATCAAAGACATATTTCGAAAGGGCTATATTTGTCCTGGTCATTTGGATAATGAAATGATTGGTTTCCTTCCCTAGGTGTCATTCCATACCGGCAGCTATGCGATGTGTAATCAGAAAAGCCCATTCAGTCAAACCTGAAGAACTCCCAGTGAAGAAGACCATTACTCAAGGTCTAACACCTACCATAACAACACCCCACAGTGCTAACATCGACAAACTCACCATACCTGGAAACCCTTTCTTTGCAAATCCATCAGGCCCTAATACGCCTGCTTATTTTGGAAGCACTTCGCCTACATTTGGGTTCTCGTTGGAGACCCCTTCACCCACCCTCAGCGCGTTCCCCTTCTCGATCTCACCGACGTTGAATACCTTCTCCTTTGTTGGCAATGAAATGAATTCAATGAACTCTGACATGATCAGTTCTAGACTGACGGATAAAAAGCTTGAAACCCCTAAACCCCCGTCAACTCCGAAACTAACTCTGGTGTTGAAGCGCAAACGAGACGATGAGTACGTTGTCAAGGACTTCCAAGTACCTGAGATGACCATTGATTCACTCGATTCATCCTCCATCAACACACAATCAGAACCCCCAAAAATGAGCTACGAGGGACTGCAATCACCCAAGGTTCTGGAGCATCCCGCATCCATGGAGCCAGCCCCTCCTGTACTAGATTTAGGGAAATCCAGAGTAGATGGGATGGGCTCTTACGGTGTCTTAGGGCCTGGATTTGGGGATATGAGCTCAGGTAGCTTGCAGTCTTCTAGCAGTGGTCTTAATATGAGTTCCACGGCGATTTCTATGTCTACTAGTGGACTTGGGTTAGCGGCTGGTATGGAGACGATTCCTGGAACAGAGCTGTTCGATATGACCTCTGGGGTTGGTCCAGTTGGTAGTTCTGTTGCTGACTTGGAAGGAATTCTGTCAAGTCTTCCTGGTGCCTCCCATCTTTCGGTTGACAGTGCTTTAGAATTTGATGCTGGATTAGGTAAGTGAGCACGATCTTTTCTATCCACGTATTGTGTTCCTAGGTATGAATGAAGCAAGCGATTGCAGCAGAGTCTCCACGTATCGTATTCTTAGGTATGAATGGAGCAAGCGATTGCAATAGAGCCTATCTCAAGCGAACATCCTCAGGGAAATTTACCCATTTCATACCACATCTCATTCATTATCTTGAGAATAAGATTGTTTGAGTTCCATATCCTTCGTTAAACTAAGAAATTACACTCTTGGAAATGACACATAGTCAAGAGTCTGAGAGCTTTAGGGAGGTATAAATTAGTTCAATCAAACCATCATTTGAACTATGACAACTGACCGCTAAATAGAGTTTGACTGCTTACTATCATTTCCCTCACGTCCCACCTTGTCAATTATTGTTCGACTGAGAAAACTACGGTACATTACCCAACTTTTCGTGTAGTCATCCCTATATATTGTACTTCTCAGGGTCTGGATCTCATGTCATGGACGTTGATGGGAACTTTGATATTGATGCTGCAATCGATGCTAGTGCTTCCAGTGATCCTAGTATTGCAGGTAAAGTTATCTAATCATTTCCATAAAACTTGTTACAAGAAAAATGTATTGTATTACCCATACACACCATGCAACCCTCGAGGAAGAGGGGGAAAGGTGGGGAAGCCACTACAGTCATGGGAGAGGTCACGTGTGGCAGAACTGAAAAACTGCCCAGATTGCCCAGCCGTATTTTCAACTCTTTATTTTCTGTATTTGCAGGTGTCGTGGCATCAGCCGATGCATTTGACGTTGATTCTGCTTTAGAATTTGACCTTGATCATATTACCGGACCAGCAAATGACTTGAATTCAGGGGGATCGGACCTTGGTGACCAGACACTTCCTGACTCACTGCTCAGCCCGGGCGATGGTATGGTTTCCATGGACACAGGAATGATAAGTGATTAGTGCGTATGGTATAAAACATGGCTTGCCAGTCGAACTTGGCTCAACTCTAGCGGTGCGGTTGGTTACCATAGATACTGGTCTAGGATGAATGTTCCTAGCATGTTACAAACGCTCATCTCGGAGACTCAACTTTCTGTCTTTCAAGTAAGCATGCTCTCCAGCTGAGTTCACCCTCAGAAGGAACTCAAGGTCAACCAATCAGAATTGAGTAATAAACACTGTATATTAATTAGCATATTGTTCATGATTCTGCCAAGAGAACCCATGAAATATGAATTCTTCATTCTTTAAATTGATGGGCGTAAATGCTAGTCGAATTCATCAGGCAGAATTCCATTTCAATTGACAAGAGAAATCTTCATTGCACTCGGCCTCTGCTCCAAAAATGTTAAACAAAAATAGTTGACCCAGGGTTCCTTTCAGGAAATACGGTCAACTCAGCTGGCTGATGTCGACACATTAAATATCTATCGCTTTATCTACCTTGTTCTACCTTATCTCCCATCCTAAAATGTTGCATTTTCTTGCCAAAATAAAAAAACTTAAGGTTAACGGCTGGGGTCAATAAGTCATCGAGTGTTTTTAGTGCATAGATTATATACATTAAATACGTGTCCATTTTCCCATTGTATATAATCTCATAATATAACATCCCATGGATACCATGTAAATAAGTAGAATGAAACATAGTAGTACTCAACTACAATAGTTGTATATACAATAGAAAGATTAAAATAATCTTAATTCATATAGTTTATGGTATTCAGAAAATAAATTATTTCTTGTTTTAAAATGATGGGCATCAAATGCTTTATATTCGTATTTTTATCTATATCAATATATGTCTTATTTTTTGTATTTAATTGTTTCTTTCTTCCTCACTTCCTTCCTTCCTTCGGTATTATTTATTCAAATATGTTTTTTTTCTACCAGTCAGATTTTTATTTTATTTTATTTTATTTATTTTTTCATTCGTTATTCTTGTCTTACTTCTTCTGCAACGTTAGTTTTTAAATTCAGCCTTTTTTTGTATGATTGTCAGCTGACCAAACCAGGGAAAAGAAAATCGTAACTGGACAAATATTTTATCGATTCTCAAGTTTATTTGTTTATTTTAATGAGTATATCATACTGGTAGTTTTAGTATCGGCTCATGGTGCTATCTACCCATTGCCTCAAGTAACGTACTCTTGCATATACTCCGTACTTTCCGGGTGAAGCACATCCTTGACCCCACGACACTACCCCCTCAAGGTAGTACTTGCCACCCATTTCGCACACCATGGGACCTCCTGAATCTCCCTGGCAAGAGTCCTTACCACCTCGAGCGAGACCAGCACAGACCATAGAGTCATGAATAGAGCTGTATGCTCTTTTGCATGTGGACTGGCTGACGATTGGCACAGAGACCTGCATGAGTACCTTGGATAAAGAACCACCAGAAGAAAGTGTTCCAAATCCTAAAAACAGGTTATTCAGATAAGTTGATGTTATCACAAGCAACGTGGACGAAATAGTTCGTACTTCTTTCAAGCAAGCAGTATATAACCAAACAAGGCTGTTTCTTCGTATTCATACCGAAAAACCAGTTATACTTTAGTGCTCATTTGTACCGAACAAGGATATTGTTTCTGATGAGTTGTTTGTGCACTCGCTCCTTACCTCGAGTCTAATTGCATAACATTTGAGTAGATCCCTCCCTTAATTTCAAGGGTTTGTGCTCGGTTTTTTCCTCTGCAAAACCTAACACGCTAATATCCAATTAATATTCGATCGGTGAGTTTCTGTAGCCGTACCCTTAGCGTATATTGCCAATACGTTTTGTCGTTCGATAAGATATTCAGTCGGCCTACCTGTAACCCAACATTGTTTGCCATTAGCAACACTTCCACTAGATGATGGTAAGCAAGCCAGTCCAACAGCTTTGTTGACCCGAGCAGGTTTGTGCAGTTTTAATAACGAGATATCATGAGCCATGCCATAGGGTCTCTTGTAGCTGTGATGGTTAACGATCCTCTCCACTTGGAAGTCCTGTTCGGTGCCTGTTGCACCTGATCGATAATGAGCTCCGAGTCTGTTCAATAAATGAAGGAGAATCTCAGTCAATATTTAAAGATCGCACAAAAAATGAGGGTCCTTGAACTCACCTTATTCTGATACTTGAGGCAGATTTGCGGACAGTACAATGAGCTGCAGTGACAACCCACTGTGGATGAACCAAGGTGCCACCACAGAAAGTAAAGCCAGAAGTCGTTCTGACCTGTGCTTGCCATGGCCAAGCTCCTTTTGGTGCTTCAGCTCCACCGACGATTCGAACATTAGGCTTGAACCCACACTGACCTGATCCACCGCTACCGCCAGTTCCTCCATCTCCCCCTCCTCCTCCTCCGCCGCAAAGTTTACAGGTTTTCTTGCAGTTTAGCTTCATGTATGATTCGAATTGCCCAGTGCAGTATCCTCTTCCGGCCCAGTAACTACAATGTCGGTTGTTGTCCGAACATCCTATTTTAAAAAAGATCCGAGCAATGAGCAATAGTTAGGCACGATAACTAGGCAAAGGCATTTTCCAGGGTGTTCTTTAGAAAAGAGTGTTCGAATCCTCTTTAATGGTCGTTTCCGGAGGAATAATTTGACCCGCGGAAAGTGTAAAGCCTAGTGGTTCATTTGGCATTAATGGTACTCTTAATTCCAGGGACAAGAATATGTCGAAACATGCTACGATAAAATAGGTTTTTTTTAAAGTGGGTCAGTGGGCAGGACCTCTTTATAGCATCGTTCATCGAATGCCATGTTACACTTTGAACTAAGAATTAAACTTTGAGGTTATTGCAGATCAACACTGAAATTGTACAGAATTATATACCTTGGGCCAGACTTGCCAATACAGAAACCCCCAAAGCGCAAAGCACCACCAAAACCTTCATGATGAACTTTGATGAACACAGTGATTATCTTCATCTTCTTGCTCTTTTATGTCCCAAATGTCTTCTTTCTACAACGGGCTGAACAAATGCAGCTGTTGGTAGCCTTTTAAGAGAGTTTTGAAAAGACATACAAATGTACGTCAGAGGATTGAAGGTTAGTTGGATAACGACTAGCATCTGGATAAATAGCAAGAAAAGGTGTAACTTTTGCTTATACGTGATTGGCTATCATGAGTAATACTTTTCTTTTGTTTTACGTTGAGAATGATGAGAAACTTAATAAAGAAAGGAATCGTGAGCAAATGCTGGAAAAACATATTTGATCAAAGGAAATCCCTGTATAAACTTATGCAAAGTTAACAAAAAGAGAGGACCTACTTGAAGCTTTATTTTTAGAATGAGGACTCGCACCTTGTTTTCTGATTAAACCGTTGCATTCAAATTCTTGGGCAAGTTATTATAAATTTATCGACCACATAACAAAGAATCCTTATCATACCCAATCTTATTCAATCGAACATTCGGAAATCAATTCAATCAATTGGTTAAAGTCGTAAATCGATCAAAGAAAATGCTTTCGGTTGAATTGGATTTCCAAACATTTACGAATAATCAAACTTAAGCCCCGTCCACACGTATCCGGAAATTTTTGTATCCGCAAATTATTTTTTGCGGATACGAAAATGTTTGCGTCCACACGCAGCGTATTCGAATCGTTTTCACCGTCCACACGTATCCGTTTTCGTAAAATTTGCGGATACGGATACAAAAATTTGCGCACACGTGTGGACGCAACCCGTATCCGAAAAAAAAAAAATTGCGGATACAAAAATTTGCGGGTACGTGTAGACGGGGCCTTAATCGAACAAATTCAAAAATAATTGAAGATTTTGAGAGCAACACATAAGTAATCCAATAGCACTAAAATCAAAACAAAATCAAAAATAATTGAAGATCAACAATGTGATCAACAATCAATGGCAATCGAAACTTCGTTTATGTTCGATGGCAATCGGACGTCCGATTTTGTTCGATTGGCACTATATTTGGTTTTGAATACGATTGTGTTCGATTGATTTAGCCAATCGCGAATCAAATCGGCAAAGATGTAATATAGCTTTCGATTTTGCTCGAGTCACTAAGCCTTGTATAGCGACTGAACAAATTCACTATATGAACAGCTTATGAACGCAGAGTCTTTTTTCTATATTTCACCCACTTTGAGCTCGCACACTATACCTTGTCCACTACATTGGATATTTTCTCCCCACAACTCAAATGTTTTCAGAGAGGAAACCCAGCACATTATGATCTGGAAAAAAAATTTTGTTTAGGAATCTTTGAAACAATAAACAGGGCAACAAATCTAACAAACTCAAGCCCATCCTGGCGCGTGGCTCTGCCGGGCATCAAACTAGTGACCCCAAGGTTGAACAGTACATGGCGATGAGAGTCAGCGTTCCTGTAGATTCGATTTTAACCGTTATAAGTCGTTAACTGATAAGCAGTTCTACCAAACAAATCGTGTGTTATTGCCCATGTAGGAACGCCGTGTATGGTACATCATTTTATGGCTACCAATGTGTATTTGTCGGTCCACGTGTTTGTACCATACATGACTGAAGTACGTATCATACGACTATAAGTGACCTATTCCAATATACAACTTATAAAATGCGGTAAAAAAAAACAAAGGAAGAAAGCAATAAACTATTATTTTTCAGCTGATGGGCATGAATGAAGGATGAATATTATCCTATGAAACCAGATACCTCGGATCCCTCTTATGCATTTACTTGGCTGTTTTTTTTGTTAAATCTTTGTAATCACGTTATACTACAACAGGGAGTCCGTACAAGAAAAGCTCATTCCAAAAAAACTCCAGAAAGATTTTCTCGTAAATTTTGAACTTGAATTGTGTGATGATTTAAACTTGATTCCTGTCTAAGATCTAGAAGATTTAGGAAAAAAATACACGAGTTCCATTTATAGTTAGACACAATTTCTCGATGACATATAACTACTTTATTCCTTTAATTCATTTTCAACACTGATTATTTAGTTGCTGCTAATTATCTTGTCAACCCATTGCTTCAAATAGCGGACTCGTGCGTACACTCCATACTGTTTTGCAACTGCACATCCTTTGCCCCACGACACCACCCCCTCAAGGTAGTATTTGCCACCTGCCTCACACACCATGGGACCTCCTGAGTCACCCTGACAAGCATCTTTGCCACCCTGGTCAAGACCAGCACAAATCATCGAGTCATGGATCAGATTGCTTCCATAGGCTTTTGTGCATTTGGCTTGATTAACGATTGGTACTGAGACTTGCATGAGGACCGTTGGTGATGCACCATTCTGATACAGCCTTCCAAATCCTGGTGCAATTAATAGAAACTTTAAGGTGAAACACGTGCATATATCATTGCAAACTGTCATCGTAGTCCAACATTTGGTTTAAAAAGGTAATAAAAGTAAAGTACCTATATTTAACGTCGGTAGTTCCTTCAGTTGAAATTCAACTGCTATCAATGGAAGCCGACGGTGCGCACTTTACCCCCTCTCTCCATCAGTGCTCCGGACATTCAGCTCAGACATGCGCAGAACGAATTAACTAGTTGCTAACTTTAAATCAGAAGGGAAGGCCATTTTTTTCCGATGTTAACATACATCAACATACACAGGAGTTTCAGATATTCTTCGATATCACGTCGTGCCTTTGTCATGTCCTAGACAAAATTTTGGCTCAGGGAATCCCAAAGCTTGAGGGGCGGGCGCGCATATTCTAAAGCAAATGTTCCCGCCAACTCGACAGGAAATCCTATCATCATTCCTCTCTTTGATACTGCAAGGTAATGATTCCTTTTTAACCTTACAAATGAATCGTTATTACCTGAAACCCAACAGTGCTTGCCATCAGCAACACTTCCACTAGAAGATGGTAAACAAGCCAGTCCAACAGCTTTGTTAATCTGAGCAGGTTTGTGCAGTTTTAGCAAGGCAATATCGTGGGCTATCCCGTATGGCTTTCTGTAGCTTTCATGGGAGATCTTTCGGGTGATTTGAAAGTCTTGCTCTGTTCCTACGTCTCCTCGTCTCCGATGTGCCCCAAGTCTGCAATATACGTTAATCTTCTGAGATGGATGGGCATTATAAAGCTATAAGGAAATTTCATCACATTCAAATTCCCCCACCTCACGAAATAAAAAGCTAGAAAAAACAATCACAAAACACAAATATACCAACTGACATGAGATGACATTTAACAATTATTTTTAACACAAGTGAATTTAATAAATTACGGAGAGAGAGTTTTTTATATTTTCAAATTTTGATTATCTCTGCAAGCGGCACAAATCGACAAACGAGCGTGCGCGTGCGCGAGCTATATTCCCCTGTAGGTGAGTATGGCAGCATAAGACGTAAATAGGCCCTTTGCAGCTAAGCAATCACGTGCGATTAATTTTCTGAGAGCAAATGAATGAACATTTTGATTCCCATGGGTGAAATTTACTGAAGATCAAACGAACTTTCTACAACCTGTTTTTGAGAGATCGTAATAAAAATGCAATATACTATATATATACTATACAATAAAAATTGTATAGTCGATACAACACGGCTGTTCATATTGTAAACATTACTTGCAGCTGGTTAAGCTGATGTAATCGCGATGTCATCCCCTAATGGATTTAAGAAAAAATTAAAGCTGGTCAAGTACTAAAATACTCCAAGTACTTCTCACCCGCTTTATATAAATAATTTGTAAATACGTATGCAAGAACAATAAAATTTCTAGTAACATGGTTGTACATCACACGAATAATTGCAATTGAAGCAAGACGAAAAGAAAGATTGGGTTGTAATGGGATATAAATTGTATTTTGACTTTTACCGCTTACCTCACACGAATGCTAGAAGCAGACTTCTTGGCCACGCAATGAGCTGCAGTGACCACCCATTGTGGATGAATCAAAGTTCCACCACAGAATGGGAAGTTGGAAAGGGTTCTGAGCATTGCGTGCCATGGCCAAGCTCCTTTTGGTGCCTCAGTTCCACCGACGATTCGTGCACTGGGTTTAATTCCGCACTGCCCTGGTGCTACGGTTCCACCAGACCCCCCTGAGCCACCAGAACCACCAGATCCTCCAGAACCACCCGATCCTCCAGAACCGCCTTAATTAAACAAACAAGTATAATGAAGCACGCGTGTCTATTTTGGGTTCAACAAAGGTTTATCTATGCTCGTTCCATGTATTGTATGGTTCATGATCAGGGATGGATGGGAAATGCCGGTAAAGCTTTCTAGTTTGTGTTTTTTTTTGTCAATCAAACCTATGACTGATGAACGAGTTTGCGTACGTAATTTGCATATCTCCGCCCCTTCACATGATTGACAACAGAAAATCCCGCCAAAAGCAACTAAATTTTCTTGAATTAAGGGCCATAACACATAAAGCAATCTGCAGTATACAGTTTACAAATTAGTAGCAGTTAACTTACCACCAATTCCATCACAGAGCCCGCAGCTTTTCTGACAATTCTTTTTCATCCATGTCACTAAAGATCCATATTTGCAAAAGTGCCTGCTTGCCCGAGCTGGACAGCGGCTGTCCAAATCCGTACAACCTAGAACGAGAATTCAGTAGTCGAGGCTTATTTACTAGGCTACTCAGCTAGCAGAGCCTCCTTCAACTCCTTAGTGCCACTGAATAGGACGTTTGCATGATGGCGTCACTGACCTCTTCTACCAGACTCCCTTGCACACTTTCTTTTATTCAGTTAATTAGCAACAATTGTCTTACTATTCTCATAAGGAAATACAAATTTGAATAAGAAAGAAAATTCGCGAAGCAATATGGTAGTGGGAGTCAAATGACGCCATCATGCAAACGTCCTATAGTGCTCCTATCTGGCACGGAGCAGTTAATATGAAAAGGCTCTGTTAGCAGGATACATTATAATAAGTGCAATTTTATTTTGCATTTACCGTGACATCAAATCAAGGCTAGTCAATAAGGACCAAAACATTAACACACTAGGTGAGATGTCCACTTATGTCACCTATGTTACAGATTGGTTAAAATGATATACTCTATTAGGTAGATAGAGTGCTCACACTAAATCCGTGAAACAAATACTAATTTTTAGCACTAAATAGTGATAATTAAACGATAGAAAACAAAGGATTCTGTATGAAAGAGTACTAAATAGTACTATTTAGTGTTCACGGTTTTAGTGCGTGCACTCTAGTTTAACTTGTTTAAATAAAACTAATATGTGATACGCGTCGTTGCACAGCACGCCCAGGTACCATTTGACCATCTTTATTACATACTGTGAGGCGCAATATTCGGTAACGCTGAACACAGCAATGTTGCTTGTTACAAAGTTGTTGAAGTCCATATATTAAAGCGTTGGCAGCGTTTCTGGCAATGGCGTGGTGAACCTCAATTAAATTAAATCTTCATTATATTTTAAACAATTAAAATCACTGTTACATTCCGCCATTGTCGGCATATTGACGACTTGCATTGTTATGCTCTGAGCTCTAAGGAAAGATATCATTATAGTTTACCGTGTGCGAAGCTTGCCAGAACAGCCACTCCAAGAAAGCAAAGAAGAACAGAAAACTTCATTGTGCACGCAATGGAAACTCTGTATTAATGAGCGTGCCACTTGCGGTTTTATCTTAAAATATCTCTTCTACGAAATAAGCCTGTTCAAGCACAGACGGCAAAAGTTAGACATAGATGTTTACTATAAATCAAGACCTGCTCTTCAGAGTTTGAAAAGAGAAACATCTAAATCAGCTGGGTAAGTAATATTGATGGCCTTTCACAGAAGTTTACTATTCGAGATGTTGAGCATACTGTACAAGAGTCAAGCAGTCAATGCAAAATACACAACAGGACTGGGGAAAATAGTTCTGAGATAAGTGGGGGAGTAATCTCGGCAATCCCTGCCTTTAAACCTCTAATTCCCTCTAAACTCTCTCATCTTCGGCCTCCTTGGACCTCCTACCCCGTGTCCATTTCTCTTCCTATCATCTAGCTCATGATGTATTTTCTATCAAGCGAGCCTCATTCGTCCTGGCACGCAACTCTCTTGAGTTTAAGGTTATTTGTTTGAGTTGTATCCATATTCATGTTTCTTCTAATGCGCAACCGTTAAACAAAGAAATGATATTCTACGTGGTCTGAAATGAGAAAAACTCTTTGATACGTCTCATAATATAAGCACTATTGATGAGTTCATCCCTTTTTTTACAATTGATTTTGTATTTTCCACGTTTTACATACCATTATAGATAATTAGATTAGGGGGGAAACTTGTCTTAAGGTGGCTCGACCCCCTCACGCTTGACCGCTACCTTCCA